CGAACGTGCACCCTCCGAAGCGGACGGAGAAAAGCGCGATGAATGGATGTGGTCCGACCATGCGGTCGCCTGCGTGTACGGTAGACAGACACCACCCTCGCAAAGCTACCAGCACCCAGCACCCAGCACCCAGCAGTCGTCTATCCCGCCGACGAACCGAGCCACCAGTCTCTCCCAGCGAGAAGCTAGCGCTTATCGACGAAAGAAAGCCCCGAGACTCGAGCCTATTCTCTTTTTGTCCAAGTCCATAAAGATCGACGTGCTTCGCTAGGCTCGAGTCAGGGTCCACACAAGACAACCGAGCTAGAGCCTAGGGGCGCGACCATTCCATGCGTCAGGCGCGAGTCGTGGGCTGCAGGTGAGCAGAGCTTGCAGGGGCAGGCCCGGGCAGTTCATCGTGTCGAGGATTCGTCTGTCCGACGGTCGTTGCTCTCCCGCTGACGGACCTTGCACTGTCGCTTTGCCCCAGGCACCATCGGCGGCACCTGGGGGCTTTACTGGCAGCGCTACAGCGACTTAGCAGAGCGGCAGATACAGCCAGCGCTTGCGCTTGGAGCATGACAGCCAGGCCACCGGTGTGCAGTCGACAGGGTGCGCTCAGTAGCCAGCGATCGGGTTCTGAGGGACGTTAGCGAGAGAGCGGAGCGGGCGAGCGAGTGAAGCAGCAATGTCGAGGCACGCATGGGACAAAAGATGAGTGAATACATGTGCCCACGCGGCAGACGCGAACGTGAGGCCCGCCACTGTACCGTGATGCCAAGGCCCTGTGATAGAAGCAGAGGGAAGACGAGGAGCCGAGCGTTGTGGCGATCGACGGCATGGCAGCATGGCAGCATCTCAGCACCGACAATGCAGGGGTGGGCAGAGATGAGTCGGTCTGTTGAGGTGAGCAGATGAGTGACCGACTGGAAGAGTCGGCACATCAGTGGCCCCCTCTCACGGCGTGTCGGACATCATCATCAAGCATTAGTGGACTGTGACTCGATGAAAGACGAGGCAGAAAGAAGTGGAGAGGGGAAAGACCTTTCGCAAGAGACCCCCCCCTTGCCGGGCGCTCTGACCCACATGACCATCCTCCCACCTATCGGGGTTAGTGTGAGAAAAAGACGCAGATCTCTGGAACCCACTCATTTTCGATGCTCAGCACGGATCAGAATGCCATGGACCAGGCATGGGTTCAGCTTCTAGTGCAAGGACCAGCCAGCAAGCCAAGCCAAGCAGACCCATCAGCAGCACACCCACGCTAAAACACACCCAGACAGCATGAGCAAGAGGCGGAGAAGGCCCCCCTGCTCGTCCTTGATCTACAGTGTCTCTTGCACACTGTGAGTATCCCAGCTTCCGGCGCATCATCACACTCGACATCACAGGCAAATCGATATTTCCCGCGCCTCCACCACATCAAAGGAAAACTCCGCGCACCTCAGACCAGCTCTTGACTTTGACTTTCTCTTTAAAACACGGGCCCGGTTTTCCTCGTCGCCAGGTGCCTGCAACGACAGCAATTGTGATCATGTTGCCCATGGCAGGGATCTAGGCACGCCCAAGAAGCCCCTCCCTCCTCTTCCTCTGATGTGCCCCCCAAGCCCAAGCCCCCCCGTACCTTCCTTGGGTCTCCACTGACACATGTATTGAGCGGGGCTTCTTCCTCAGCTCTTGCCCTCGCGCAGTCAGTTCCGCTCTTGCCAGGAAGACACTGCACCTGGAACAAATATTGAGTATCAAGTCATTTACCCAAACCGGTTGCGGCTGCCGTCGCCGGAAAGTATTGACTTAGGAGAATAGCTAGCGTGTCCACATTCCTGACGTCGTCCTTGCCTTGCCTGTCTGCCACAGCAACACTCAGCAACGCGTTGCATCGGCGATTACCCGACGCCCACACACAATCGGGTCCATGGTGAATGCTTGGTCACGGGCCCAGTCATGTAAACTGCGTTTGAACCCTGTGGACATGCCTGCCGTCATTGAGTTTATGAAGCTTTCTGAATCCAGACTGAATACATGTACATGTTTATGTATTTGGTACGGTGAAAAGCGTGCTTGGTTTGGGGAGGAAAAGACGAACACTCTTCTGTTAGTCCTCCCATGATGAAAACACACGATTTAGGAGGCAATGGAGCGGACGCATACATGTATCTTTC